GGCTAGAGGATACAATGCTGTACTGGGATTCTGGTGCACTAGTGCTTCATAACCGTGCCACGCGGACCATCGCTGTGAGCGATGATATCGACCGAGGGGGATATCCGATTCGGATGTGCTCAAGGAAATATTTTACCATTGGCAGTATCGTAAGTTACCTATGCATCGCATCGTATTAGAAAATCAGAGATTTGCAATGGTGCAGCTGAGTTGGAAGGCTAGTTTGTTACATAAACATCAGCAAACTGTATTTTCACTGAGTCTCAGAGATCTCTGAGCTTGACAGCTGTCAAAAAACTGTCAATTTTCTCAGAGATCTCAGAGGTTCTGGAATAGGTACTGCTCAGAGATGTCCAAATGAATGGTTTTCTCAGCGAAATACAGTTTGCTGATGAAGTCGTGCAAGGGGTATTAGGGCATACTCTTTGGGATTCCCGCTAGTTCAAGACACCAATTTCATTGTATCTCGTTTTACTTCAGCTTGGGACTATGTGCTAATACTGCTCTAAAGAGACTTCTGACATTGGCAATATGAGATGGCCCATCCAGCGACTCATGCTTTGAGCTTTTTCTTCCTTGTTTGTAGCGTCTCAAGACCGAGGCAGTCGTATGCCTTTCGATCAAATCATTCGGCCTCGCCCAATTCAAGCCGATGCATCCAGAGGCTCAGGCTACGACGCTGAAGCGGACTGCACTAGGGATACTTGTAAGCGCACTGGGCCGTGAAACGATGTTGACCCTGACCACTGGCATCGGGCATGCTATGTGCATTCCATTCAACAAGTCGCCAGACGCATTTAGCTGCCTGTGTCGTGGCTTTGTTCCACTATACCATTGGTAAAAATCTGGCGATGGTTGATAAATCCTGTATTCAATCATTTCCAAGGCTCTGTCAGCTTTTGCATCTGACGGCTACAGTGCCCGATAATCGTGCCCGCTGGAGGCGCACTGTATTCAGTTACAAGGTACGTTCCCGGATGTCGGTCAATCCTACCAGGTATGGATTTCTATAAGCAAAGGAGTATTCGTTACCATTAAACATCATCCACCAGACGAAGTCACTGAACACATATCGACCATGTCATCCCAAAGAAAATCCTACAAGTTGAGCGATGACGTTTTCATTTCGATTCAGGAATATGGAAAGCCATCGTCTACCCGCCCAAGTCTTGTCTTTCTTCACTTCTGGGGTGGTTCCTCCCGGTCATACCAGCTTTTGGCTCGCGAACTCGGGACTGATCTCCATATCATCGCACCTGATTTCCGAGGGTGGGGAGAATCCACTGGTCCAACCAAACCCGAGGCGTACTCTATCCCCGACTTGGCATGTGATATCACCTCCCTTATACCTCAACACGTAGGAGTCTCCTCTGCTGGATATATCCTAGTAGGTCACTCCATGGGCGGAAAAGTAGCACAGTACATCGCTTCTCATTCTCCTGCTCCTTCTGGTTTGCGAGGACTTTTCCTTATTGCTCCTGCCCCCATGGGAAAGCTCCAGCTTCCTGAAGCGTTGAAGGAGCAACAGAAGCACGCATGTGATACCGCTCAGAGTGCCCAATTCACTTTTACCAATTTCCTTTTAAGTTCTGAGGATGCAGTTTCCTCAGCTACTCTCACCCTGCTGGTTGAGGATGCCGTGAAGGGGTCTGATTTTGCCAAGAGAGCCTGGCCGGAGTATGGTTCGGCGGAGGACTATGCGGACTCTTATAAAGAAATCACTGTTCCAGTGAAGATTGTGGTTGGTGCAGAGGATCGTGTAGAGACGCCTGAGAAAGTACGTAGGGAGGTTTTTGACAAGTTGACACAGGCGGAGAAGAAGGAACTGGTCGTTGTCCCAGCCACGGCGCATATTTTTTCCTGTTGAGGCTCCAAAAGCTCTGGCAGAGGAGTTAAAGGCATTCAGTCACCAGTGTGTGACGGTACGGTTAACCGTATAGGTGTAGCAAATACAACTCATGAATCTCACAATGATCGATGTATTACCATCCGAGATGAATGATACTGTACAGTGTAGTCACGACTCCGATAGACCAGCTAGTTAACAGGAAACGGGAGCAATTACATGTACACCCCTCTAAATCCACTGCTTCTGATAGTATTCTTCATGTCCTTGGCGTGTTTCATAATATATAGAGACTTGATAGTTGTAGCCGAAATCTGTGGTGCAAATCAGAAGGTTCAGCGGATAGATATATAGATATTTTGCACACCTATGGCCACAATAAGACCGGAAGAGCAAGTACCAGATCAAGCAGATGATGGGGACAATTCCGAGCAATCAGCCAAATGTCTAATGAGGATAAGAATCCCTGATATTCGAATCTCGGTACAACACCGCTAGTTGTTCGGGAATGATACTGTGTGAACTCTCTCCATTTGTCGGAGGTTTTGTTGATAACTAGTCTCTTATAAACAGACAACTACACGATCGTAACGATGTGTAGAGAGTTGATGGCCAGTAGGATCCAAAATGGCAGCGCACCTATGTTCTGACACGTTGATTTTCGTTTTGACTTGGAGTTGCCGGGATGCTCAGAAAGATGGATAGCTGAGTTCAGTATTTACCTCCAATCTCTTATCCAGTTCTGGCTGGATAATGGAGAGGCAAACCTCCAAAGTTGGCAGACTCTGAAGTCAAATACAAATGTAACGCGAGGCTCATAGGCTTGTGACCTTTTATTATCTAGCGATTACCAGGACGCGATTGATACCAAGGAACTTGAAGACTATCAATCAAATCAACGGGATATCTTACTTTCTCTTGACTCTTTCTGGGTTCGTTTGTCTCGCGAAAGTCCCGCATCAGATGCTGTCGGAGGGAAGCGTTTATGTTTTGTCACCTCAAGGTTAGCTAATTTACAGATTACAAGGATTTTTTTACTGTTTAGGTATAAATACTACGGTCAGACAGAATACTTCCGCCCCCATTCCAAGTTTCCAACCGCTATATCACTAGCACTCCATTCTTCAAATGAAGACATTCTCTGCCGTTGCTACTGCATGTCTTGTCGTAGTCGCTGTGGCTTCTAAAAGTAAGCCCAGTCTCGGTCTCAGTCCCGTATTATTCTCATGCTTATTGTTCACTCTACGTACCCCAGTCACCGACGACCCCGCTATCGCCACTGTGGCCTCTCAAAGTACGTCCCAGTCTCATATTCTCAATACTACTACGTTGTGCTGACTCCGGTATCCAAAGTTATTACCAACGCCCCGACTACTCCAACAGTGACGGAAACCATCTTCCCTCCTTCTACCCTCTCAACCGTAAGCTGTCTCATTTGCTGAACGTAACTTGAAGTATGTAAATTTTTCATTGGTATCTTGAGCTGCTGACTTATGGCTACTTAATGTACAGGGATATAGCGTTATCCCTACGACTCGGATGGTTCAGCTTGATGGAGCAGATTTAGTCTAACATGGTCATGAATTATTCGCGCTACCGCTGTAATAATAAAGGAATGTCGTGTCTACAAATGATAGTGTTCAAAAGTTGGGCACTGTCGGTCCGACTGGTGCCATTTTTGGTTCGGTGCAAAACTTTCAAGTTATCGTTCAAAAATGCAAGAGCCTGAGGGCTACCAGTGGATACGAGTAATATGCCTATGGGTTGAGTAGGTTCGAGCCCCGTTCGGGAACCCAAGACTCGAGTTGGGTAGAGTTATTGAAAATGATGCGTTGGACCTGGACTCCTGGAGGTTATAGTGCTAATACTAGTAGAAGATTTCCAGCACATCCGAAACGGATTATCGGACATCCCCCCATAACAATGGATTAGCCTGGCATTCTCATTCTGTGGGGCGAAGCGAGTATCTGTTCCAAAGAATCCAAACGCAAAACTTTGTTCTTAAAAAGCTCAAACGAAACGAAGGCAATAAATTAGTAAGATGTTGTATGTACGGTGACTCAAATAATAGTGAGACAGAACCGCACGCGTAATGTGGCTCGATAAGTCGAGGCCACAATACCTTTACCCATTTATGTGGCCCAACCACGTTCATATTTACGTTGGTCAAAGCAGCACAATGGTGACAACGAATCAACTTCCTAATCTGGAGAGAAAGAACAATGCTGGCCACAGAGGCACCTAGATGACTCAGATCATTGCCTGAAGAGTATAAAGAGCGTCGATGCCTTTCCTTCAGCTTCTAACCTCCACGATTGATCTAAGGTTCGTTCGGTGATTTCTACCTCAAGTTGTGCACACAGTCCTCATCTCCTCGCAGTTTAATCCTGCTCGCGTAACGATGAACAACAACAGCATTAACAGCCCTAAAGGTAATAATTCCGTTCGTGATCAGAGGTACGTTGAAACATTCTTTACTATAGTTGGACGTTGACGATTTCATGTATTCTGGTCTATTCACGTACAGGAGGAACGCCGTAACCGATATAGATCTTTTACCCCACCAACCTCTATATCGACAGAGAGCGACCATGCAAGGGCTTCCTCAGCCCCCGTTATGTCCTCCTGGTCTTTCTACGCGCCCAATTCTTCCTCCTGGTCTCCCACCCCCATCCCCACGCCCACGCACACCAAACACACACCCGAATCGCACCACCAATGCACCTCCCCAATACAAACCCACTAATACTGCGCCTATTCCAGCCCATCTTCGCGTCCCAGGTATTGTCTCTTCGGATGATTATCCGCATCGACGAAGGAATCCGACGCCCCCTCCGTGTTCTACTCATCACCCGCTTCAGATGACTCCGAATCCACAGAAATCGGGACCCGCGCGTACTCCTACCCTCCATCCTTTTTATAAATCGGAGCCTTGAAGGTCGTGGAGGGATTAAATAGCCGAGGAGGTTGATTAGGGTGGAGTTGTTTATTATGTGATTTATTCGGATGTCCTACTTGAAAGAAAATACTATGATTGAAGCTAGATTAGATAAAATTCAAAAGAGAGGAGAAAAGAGAGAAAAGCTAACTCATTCCGGCAAGGAGTCTGTCGCTCGACACAAAAAAGGAAAAGAACAGCCTAGTGGGACACTCATCCGACCTGCCTGGTTCGAACAGGCGACCCCAGATGAAGTGTGAACGGCACTCCAATTGACCAATTACAGTCTTGTGCTCTTCCAACTGAGCTAAGGTCGGCTTCAAAGTTCAACTGCTAATAAGCAAGGAGCAAAAACATACTACTGCAGCAGGAACCTTCGCCGAGTTCGTAGAGCCACATGGGTTCGTAGACGGACGCGGTTCTATAAGAGAGGATACTGTTTCAATAATAGTGTTCGCCAGTCAAGGAGATCCGGAAACGAAAGGTAAGCTGCGAGCATGATACTGAAAAGCACATACATACCTTCTAAAATCCTCGTTATTCATTGATCAAGCAATGCTTCCGAAATCAACCCCAATTTGACGGAGATAACTACGATTTACCGTACGTCCGAAGATTGATTCTTGCACAAAATCGGAATATCGCCTAGGGTATAGCAGGGAGAGCGCCGGGGCGTGAGTTATGAAAGTGTCCCGAGGGTGATAGATTGCAGTCCAGTGAAAAGATAAGCTGGATCCGACTCCCTTTCGATTTCGAGGCCAATCACTAGAGCTCAATTGCAGCTCCATAGCCCATTCCATGACGTTTCATTAGTAGTAGCCACGACCGTAGCCCTCCATAGCCTTCCCCATGCATCGTAACTCGATGTCCTGAGCTACGAGTCTGATCGGGTTTGCAACATTCATCTGAGTGGCAATCTTGAGTCTTTTTCCATGTCCTTGAAATGTCGAAGACCCTCCGACTCTGCTGCACGAAAAGCATCCGCCGAGTTGCTGGGATGTCGGGGGACTTGAAGGGAGTCCAGGAGCCACAACACTCGATTCAGCATAAGATACTGAGAGATCTCTCGAGAGCCATAGAGCACCGAGCGTGCGCTGAGAGGGACTAAGCACAGGCCTAAATCCCACATGAAGAGAGTTCATGGCATCGATGCAGGAGGTTACATAAAGATGGTATGGATTATGATCGTGATGGGGAGCTGGGTTAGGAGAGACCAAAGGATGATGAATGGAGGGAGAGGAAGTTCCGGATTGGAGGAGTACAAAGCACGAGCTGGAAGAGTAGCTCCACTGTAATCGTACGTTGTTACTGATGCAAGATGGAAAAGCCATCGGAGAAGGCATAGCGAAAGGACGAGCAATGTGCTCTCCATAGACTGAGTGCGAGGAACCATCTCGCTCCAATGAAGAAAGATAGTCTCAGAAGGTAGTTTCACGGCGAGAGTTCGAGATGTCTCCTGCTCAGCACAATTCCATGACCTGTCTCCGCATCAACGTCTCGGAAATCTCGTCCTTGAGTAATACGAGTATCCAAGATAGCGGCCGATAACTGTGCCAGTGTAATGGGTGCGATGTGTTTCCCATCCATTTTGCAAGCTAGCGCGAGCACGGTGGATCATGGACAGTGTCACTAGTGGAATGTTCTGAATGTGTTGAGGTATGTTCGTCAGTATTCGTACTTGAAAAAAAAAACAGGATGTACCTGCGATTCCGATTCCACCAACACTCTCTGGTTAAATTGATAGTGCTAGGGCTGTATAGTATTCAACATTTTACGGAACGCTGGAGCCCTGTCGCTCGATGGTTGATCGCAAGCAGAGAGCCGCAATAGCGCAAATCCTGATGTTGGTCGCACTGCAAATGTGACGATTCACAAATTTCCTGTTGGCTGCAAGCTATAAAAGTTCAAGGTAAGTTTGAATCTCGAGCCACATATGTTGGAAAAATACCTAGCAGTAAAGCGCAGTTTTATGGACATCGGACAATCATAGTTCGTTGAGTTTGGTCCAAGTAGGTATTTCACAGGAACAAAAGCAGTAGAGAACATTAGATCCTTGGCCCCTGTATAAGATTTTGAGCTCAACGCGTAGGATGATGAACGTTGATTGAAGGATGTTAGCACTCACTGCTTGGCGCTCAAACTTCGACTTGAAGCTTCAAGGCCCTTCATTCTTCCTTCAATCCAGAGAACAAACGATATCTCCCCACTGCACGTAATTTCAAGAGGGAATTTCAACAACCCATGGCCTCAAGCATTTTCTTGCCACTGCCAAACGAACGCTACTATAGCTACTTGCTGGATACTTATTCCGAATCAGTTATTTAAGCTGTTCAGCGCCGGAAGCTTTATTGATATTCACTATCATTTATTGCTAGTCTAAGGTTTGAGAAGTCAATTTCTGAGGAACTTATTTGCGCGGGTAATATGAATGATGCTTGGCGGCCCTAAGTCGCGGATCCGACCCTCCGACTCATCTTGACTGATACCACCATGTCCTCAGGTCTGATTGCTCCAGTTCAGACTTTCCCTCCCTTAATTGGGGATGCTCACGGACGTTACAAAATAAGGATAGTGAGAAATACAGGTATAATTTCATTAACACTGAGATGTATCCAGGTTCCATGAAATGTTTGGGATCTGGAAAGGCGAGGTTACTTGCCAAACATCTCAATATCCTTTCTTCTCATTGTCCTGTATCGATGTACTTTTAACAGACCACTATTGGTTTAAAGCTCGCAACCATCCTTGACCTGCGATTGCTTTCCATAGATGAAATACTGTGGTAGCCAAGATGGATTGAAACTCCAAAGGAAAAATTAATCCCCAAGATCCAGAGTTTTCTTCACCAGAATGCAGGACGTGGATAGGTAATTGATGGAAACTCTGAAAACAAGGAACATCAACAAAACCTGTATTTTCGCTGGAGGAAACCCATTCATTTGGGACATCTCTGGAGCAAGGTACCCTATTCCAGAGACCTCTGGAGAGAATTGACAGTTTTTTTGACAGCTGTCAAGCTCCAGAGATCTCTGGAGACCTCCAGCGAAAATACAGGTTTTGCTGATGAAGGACCAGAGATACAGCAATCCGCAACAGATGTTATATGTAAGTCACTCTCAACATCTAATCTAATGGTTTCCATTATCTATGTGTATGTGTAGTAATTGACCTCCTGAAGATGAAGCCCCAACAAGCCTTCAAAATCACAGACAAGCAATTGGATTTTGGATGTCCAAGTCAAGAACAATTGAGTGCTCCAAACCCTGAGTTCAACCTTCTTACTGTCACAGAAATCCTATATTGACTCAGTAGTCCACACCTTTGAACTACAGAATGCCAGTCCCTCCTACATTCCCATGGACATACATAACTGGCTCTCCAGCTTGCAGTGTCCACAGGAGCCTGAAGCTGTCACCACAATGTCTGATATTCCCTATTGAACTCTGGTTGGCAAAACCATGTATTTGGGAATTGTCAAAGGCTTCACTTCAAGCATGCATTTGGCATTCAATGACAATGCTTCCTTAGCCTGGTGCCATGAGATGGCATGTGAGTAATAGTCTTCTGTACTACTCTGATAACAGAACAGTTTTTTGGTGAACCTCATTGCCAACCAAAAATCCTTTATGCCCAAGAACTCAAGGGGTGTTCAAAAAAATAAGCGCTGACATGACCTTGGGGGGGGGGGATCTGAGAAGTCCTTATGGCCAAAAAATTTTTCATACTATTGAGGCTCTCAGGGGTGTTCTAGGTCAGTTCAACCACTGAAATAAGGCTGTAAAAACCATTTAAAGCACTCATCATCTCAAATCTCCCTGAAAAACATGGATTTTATATCGGTATGATGCATTTTAGTACCAATTTAGCACCTCCATCAAAAGATATTGTTGATGCAAGTGCACTTACACCAGGTTGAATTGAGCTTAGATGAACTGCTGTGTATTAAATTGCCTCTGAAAATGTTGTTTAAAGGAGCAAAGGAGAGCAAAGGAGAAAAATTGTTATGTAATACAAACTTGAAGTTGGAAATCCTCCGAAGTGTGGGAAAATTTTACTATATATAGGGTGGAGGGGGGGGGCTTCATGAATCCTTATGACCCAAAAACAAGGTCATGTCGGGACTTAGTGGGTTGAACACCCCTTGCAAGAACTAGGAATATTTTCTCCACTTATTAATTTATGACAAAAATTTTTTATCTCATTTTTTCAGTTTCTTTAGCAATTCAAAAGCACAGTGTTACTGCATATTACTGTACCGTTTCGACCAAGTGTGCACGGGTTGTGACGCGTGACCTGACCTGTTCACAATTTTTAGTGTTCACAGATGGTAGTGACTGGTGACCGATCTGTGAACTGTTCACTGGACCTTTAGATGCAGGTACTCAGTGATCTGTTGATTTATTTTTGAACCAAATTCAGGCTTGTCAAAGGTGAACTGAGGCTATATTGAGCAAATTTTGAAGATTTTTCAGCATTTGATTGATTTTCAAGACTTTTTTTTTTGTTTCAATTGTCACGGTGTTCACAGCTCAAAGTGACAAGTGACAGCTACCTATGAACTGTTCATTTTGGGTGAAGGTGACGCGTGACCGAACACTTGGTCGAAACGGTACAGTACTAAGGACTATATATGGTAATGGCTGTGGCATCTAACAAGCACTGGCAGCATTAAGCCACAATAAGTAATGTCTTCAAATTTCAATATCAGTTCCTCTTTTGAAATCTTGTTTTTTCTTTGGTGTCATTTAGATTGCATTTAGAGCTATACAAAGATCAAGATTCAAAAAGTTGGGTGGAACAAGTTCCAAGCAAAAAACTATGGGTTCTACTAGCACACTCCATTATCTTTTAGTGAGTGTTTCAAGTTGAAGTCTATTGGACATGGTTTTCTGTTAGAATTGTTCTTGGGATTGTGACTCAGAGGCAAACCTGGAAACAAAATATTTATTTTTTGAGACACCTAGAGCAAATTTCAGACTTCGGTTTTGTAAATATAATATCTACATATCTAATTCAAATTTATTGCATGCAGCTTGGGAATTTTTTTAACTTGTACACAACTTATACATTCAGTATTTTTATATCTAAAAGTTGAAGCACAAAAGTTGAAGCACAAAATAAAGATTGTTAAAATGTTACCAAGCAGAATACTTGAGTGAGTAATAGACAGGTTGAAGAAATATAGGGAATAGAATAAGTAAAATAACTCTGAATGACAGAGAAGAAAAGTTGACTTTGGGAAAAGCTTCTTCTGCCCTATTTAAATAGCAGTAGTACTAATGATATGCTTCTCCATTCTGACCTGTGGAGAGCAAAT